CGCATGGGATAATGGGGTGTGATGTGATATGGAATGACATAGCACATGGGATAATGGGGTGTGATATGGAATGACATATCGCATGGGATAATGGGGGGTGATATGGAATGACAGCGCATGGGAAAATGGGGTGTGATGTGATATGAAATGACATAGCACATGGGATAATGGGGTGTGATATGGAATGACAGCCATGGGATAATGGGGTGTGATATGGAATGACAGCGCATGGGATAATGTGGTGTGATATGGAATGACATAGCGCATGGGATAATGGGGTGTGATATGGAATGACATAGCGCATGGGATAATGGGGTGTGATATGGAATGACATAGTGCATGGGTTAATGGGGTGTGATATGGAATGACATAGCGCATGGGTTAATGGGGTGTGATATGGAATGACATAGCGCATGGGATAATGGGGTGTGATATGGAATGACATAGCGCATGGTATAATGGGGTGTGATATGGAATGACACAGTGCATGGGATAATGGGGTGTGATATGGAATGACACAGCGCATGGGATAATGGGGTGTGATATGGAATGACACAGCGCATGGGATAATGGGGGGTGATATGGAATGACAGCGCATGGGATAATGGGGTGTGATATGGAATGACATGGGATAATGGGGTGTGATATGGAATGACATGGGATAATGGGGTGTGATATGGAATGACAGCGCATGGGATAATGGGGTGTGATATGGAATGACACAGCGCATGGGATAATGGGTAGATACGAAATGACATAGCCGATGGGATAATGTAGTGATATGGAAACGACATAGCATGGGATAAATGGGGTGTGATGGAATGACATAGTGCATGGATAATACCGGGTGTGATATGGAATGACAGCGCACATGGGATAATGGGGTGTGATATGGAATGACATGGGATAATGGGGTGTGATATGGATTGACAGCACATGGGATAATGGGGGGTGATATAGAATGACAGCATATGGGATAATGGGGTGTGATATGGAATGACATAGTGCATGAGATAATGGGGTGTGATATGGAATGACATGGGATAATGGGGTGTGATATGGAATGACAGCACATGGGATAATGGGGTGTGATATGGAATGACAGCGCATGGGATAATGGGGTGTGATATGGAATGACATGGGATAATGGGGTGTGATATGGAATGACATGGGATAATGGGGTGTGATATGGAATGACATGGAATAATGGGGTGTGATATGGAATGACATAGCGCATGGGATAATGGGGTGTGATATGGAATGACAGCGCATGGGATAATGGGGTGTGATATGGAATGACAGCACATGGGATAATGGGGTGTGATATGGAATGACAGCACATGGGATAATGGGGTGTGACATGGAATGAC